AAACTATATATAAATAAATTAATTAAATATTATTTCTCCACTCGGAAATCTTTAAAATTTCAATTTTCAAGTTATATAATATTTTTTCCTGGGGGGGGGTGATTGCAGAACTGGTAACTTGTATTCCCGTGCTCCATAATCGGATTTCAATCTAATTTGTTTTTTAATCTAATGTCTAATTACATTAATTTGTTGAAGAATGGTGAATATAATTAGACAATTGAGATTCTCACATAAGTAAATAATTTTCGTAAATGAGAAATAATTAAGCAAACAAGTGTAGAATTATGATTTGAAACAGAAACCAGCTGAGCTTCATTGACAGTACATCTAAAGCAAAAAGCTTGGCTCCTGAAAAACACAACTAGCTAGTGTTGAAAAAAAGAAAAGGAACTAAAATAAGAAATAGAGGAGAGTCCGGGGACGAAGCTCTAAATAAAAGAATCCCGCTGGCAAACCCCCTCCTCCGTTTTTTTTTTTTTTGATTTATGTATATATGCACATAAATACAGAGTGATGTTTCACTCATGTAGTGCAAATACTACTCAGGCCTGATTTTCCAAGTCGGTTGCGCTTATAAACGTGCCGTGAAATCCATACGGCACTCTTGACGGAAGTTCAACGGAAGCTTCCAGCTTTAACGACGTCGCATTCACTACCAGCAGCTCAGATTTCCACGTGTTCTCGTCGTGGACGTAAGACAGAATATACCCAGCATCTTCTCCTTCTCCATCGGAAGTTGAGTCACTCGGAACAAAAAACGGCTCGCCGCCGTATCTACGGTCGCCGTAGATGAATTCCTCAACTTCTCCGGTGGAGAGGTCCACTTTCGCAAACCCAGAAACTTTAGGCCACGGCTCTGCTATTGCTAGATATGCGTATCTTGTTTTCCGGCCCAGCCGGTTCCTGTTTACCATACCGGCTTCTAAATTGATTTCCTCCTCCGACGACGACTGGATAATGGACCGCTTCTTCGACCGGCCGGTTTTTAAGTTGAGCCGGATTTCTGATAAAACGCTTTTTAAGTTTTCGTTGCTCTCGTTGAAAATGGAGTCCGGTGGCGTCATGCATGAACCGATGACGACAACTTCATCGGTCTCCGGCTCCTCCCAAGCGTTCCATAAATGGAAACAGAAAGTATCCGGACAATCAACCCATATAATATCCTCTGCATTTTCCGCATTTTTCGACAGAATTCCGAACCTGGATTTCTTGTTTTTGTCGTACACCATCGGGGAGCCACCTTTCACCATTTCTTGAAGCTTGAACACCACTTGCTGGTCGGGAATCACCACGAAGTTCTCCGTGATCGCGAAATCGTGCATCATGGTCGGCGAATCCAGGGGTATTTCCACGTCGGGGGATTTTTTCCCATCGCCGGAAAATTTGAAGTACTTGAGGTATGGCTTCTGAACGACGTCGTAGCTCAGAGCGAAAAGCTCCTTCGAAACAGGGTCGATTTTCGGGTGGGCGATCATGGTGCTGCTCAATTGCTCTTCGAAATCGTATCGGCCGACTGTTTCGAGATCGCCGGAGGGAGTTAGCCGGACTTGGTAAGGGAGATCATCTTCCGACATGGCTAGGAGTCTTTGATTGAAATATACTAACCCGGCGTTGGCGACACCTGTTCCTTTGCTGTGATCCACCAACCCGCATAGGCCACGTGTGTAGAATAGGAGAAGCCGGGCTATGCCGGAATGGCCGTGGAGCTCTCCGATGGCTTTCGGGAAAACGGGTCGGCCCAAATCACGTTCTTGGATCAGCCTCTGTGTTTCCGTGAACCGGCAGGCGTAGCTGGCGGAATTGTCGCCGCTAAATGTGACGGCGTGGATCATGCCGTCTCCGTCGAAGAGGTGGTGGCCGGCGACAGGCTCGTGGAGAGGGTTGGCGCCGTTTCTGACATAAACGCCGTTAAGGCAATCTGGGATGGTGCCGGTGACGTGGAGGTTGTGGCATACGGGCTGCTCCGGCACGGGGGCGAAGTTTCCCGCAATTTGGATACGTGGGTCGGCGGTTTTGGGAAGCGTGTGGTGGAGCTCGCGTGAGACCAACGCGCTTTCGAAGAAGTCGAGGGTTTTAGCGGCAGCTCTCTGTAGAAAGTTCCACTGCGGGGCGGCGGGAGGACAGGTGTCGTGTTTGGGAAGAGTGGGTGTCTGAAAGTTGTGTTTGGGGAAAGTGAGAACCGAAGGTGAACACCGGATTTTAGCTCTTCTACTTGGCTTTCTAGTTTGTGAGAATTTTTGAGAAAAGTTTGCTGGTGACATTGATAGAGACATATTTGTGTATCTATCTTCGAATATTCAAGAAAGTTAATATTTTTTTTTTCTTGACAGAAATTAGAGAGTAGAGAGAGAGAATGTGTGTTGTGTGTGTTTTGGGGGGAGAAAGATGAAGAGAGAAATGGGGGTTTAAATAGAGATTTTCTAATGTAAAAATTTGGTCCACCTTAGACATGTATGAGGAGACCACGTGGTTGATTGGTGTGAGTGGCACTTGGAGATTGACATTACATACAAATCCTTGTATCTATACATTAGGATGACATATGACATCACCAATCTTTATATAATAATCATTATTAGCTTATAAGACTTTAGACCATCATGTATTGTATAGTACACACACACACACTAGGTGGGTTGGGCAAGTTTTAAGGGGGTCATATAATTGGAGAAATGCTTTACATTCAGGACCAATCAGAGTTTGATATTTGATTAGAGTTAGATATCATGATTTAATTTTGCCCCCAACCCCCAAATAGTGAAATTCAACCTAATCGAATTTTGAAATTTCTGATAATCTCTAAATAACCTACTTTTTGGTACATATATTCTAGAATTTGATCTAAATTCACATTTAATACTAGTATTTTCTTCTTATGTTCAATATGAAAACTGTGTCTAGTTTTTATTTTAAGAAGAAAGAGTGTTGGGCTGGATACGTGTCTGTGTTTATAGATCAAGAATCAATGAGAATATAATAAAGTTGGAGATAATAGTAAGCCAACTCTAAGAACTCCATTAACCGGCCAGGCCAGTGTCAGAATGCGAAATGAGTTAGACTGCTACCTTCACATCAATCTCGATCCAAATACTCATTTTTTAAATTAGTAACAAAAACAAATAGAGAAAAAAATATTATGCAAGATGGATAGTGAAAAAGATAACATAAGATGAGTTTTTTTTTTGATGGGTACATAAGATGAGATTGACAAATAATAAAAAGACCTAGTGTTGAAGAGGGTCCTCTACATTCTACAGGCCACCACACCGAGACTTCATCATAGAGTACCACTCCCTCCAATTTGACTTAATAAAATTTTGCTGTGTTGATTGATAAATTAATTAGGATATATTATTGTTTATTTAATAAAATTTTGTAATTAATTTGGAGTTGAAAAATGAATAAAGCAACAGAAACCGAGTGATATATGGCCACTTGCAAAAAATAAGCCGTGGGCGGGTGACTATTTCATTATATTTCTCGGCGGCTTGTAATTGGGAAGTGGGAATTAAGTGAGCACGGCGGGGCATCACCCCCAACTCCACGTGGCATATTTCTATTTCATCCACGCCACAAAATACTTCTTCTCTCCACGCGCACTAGGACGTTTTTCTTTCGGGTTTGTATATTATTACAACATAGTAATCAGCAGCAGCAGCAACTACTGCAATAATTTGGCTTCAAGTCAATCATCTCTCTCTCTCTCTCTCTCTCTCTCTCTCTCTCTCTCTCTCTCTCTCTCTCTCTCTCTCTCTCTCTCTCTCTCTCTCTCTGTATGTGTGTGTGTGTGTAGTGTCCCACAAATATCTTATCCTCTCCAATGGACCATATATATATAGCTTAGGATCATTATTTTTCCTGTATTTTCATTTTAATTAGTGGGGTGTATTATTGAACCGATGTCGAAGCTGAAATATCTTCTAGTTTCAAAAGTGAGTGACGCTTCATCTCAATTGAATTAATGACAAAATGTACATATTTTCTTTTGACATTTACGCATTCACTTATATAGTAAATGCTCCAAATAATTTGGGGCATGAAAATACTTTTTTTCAGCACAAACGTCCCACTGTCTGTCACACATGGAATCTTCTGCAACTTGCTTCAGATACTAGCTAGTACCATCATATATCATAATAATAATGGTGCAAGTTGCAATAATAATGTCTTCTTCTGCAATTTAAATTGGGATTGGTGCAGTTTAATTCACTAGTCATCATCAAATGGAGGTTAGGGGTAAATTAGGCAGAAATATATATATATCCGGCTCTCAAAAGCAACAAAATATGTTTGGCACCAACTTGCAATTAATCGATAATAATCAACACGTGAATTATTGTTGATCAAGAATTTTAAATTGATCGATGATCAACCACTTCTAATCATCAATTGATTGACCACAATAATTTTTTTATTTTTTTAATTGATAGTATTAGCAGAAGTTGGTTATTGTCGTTGGCGCAAACAGTTGGCACATGGGAAGTCACAACTTTGGAAATATCTTTCACTTGGTACTGAATTAAATTAAACGAATCTAACCCATTACCCATACTATAATCTTATTACAAAATAATTAATCCCATAGTGGTCTATAGTAATTCTGAAAGTTAAATATGATGTACATTTGAAAATACACTTTTTGCTTTATTTAGTATGATTAACTAATGAACATGTGACAGTTGAAGTAATTAATGTTTGTTTTAGTAGTGATGAGAGTTAAGTTTTTACAAATCTTGTGTTTATTGTATAATTGGATAGACCAAAAGCACATGGTTAGCCGTTAGAGCAGAGCATTAATTGATAGTTTGATACATAATCCCGACTTAATTCATTTTCTCTCACTACATGCATGTGATAGCTAACTAATTATTGACTCTATATAATATATATATATATATATATATATATATATATATATATATATAATAAAATAATAATATATTATGGTTGCTCTTAATTTGATTAGGCAACGACTGTAGATTGTTTTGCAGTTATTGCGGTTGTCAACATTCCACGAGCCGATCAATGATTAGCATCAAACAAACTTATCATTAATTGTTTGATTACTACATTATTAATTTATTCATGATATAGTCAATGTTAACTAACATAGATATTCAGTGGCGGTACCAGGGGGGGGCAGTTGACCCCCCAAGAAAAAAAAAAAATTTTTTTTTAGCTATTTTGACCTAATATTTTTTGAATATTACTTTTGGCCCCCCCAAAGATTTTGTAAATATGTGTCTTAATCTTAAATTTTTTGTTTATTCTCCGTAATTTTATATAAATTATAGATATATATGATATTATAGATATGTGTCGTAATTTTTTTCGCAGTATAAACCTATTTTTTCAATGTTTTGCGAACCTAAAATTTTTTTCGGGGCGTTGCCCCGAACCCCGAAATTTTAGTCAGCCCCCCCTACTTTCTAATCCTGGTTCCACCCCTGTAGATATTCAACGCAATATATATATATATATATACCTTCACCACAAGTTGTTTAAAAAAAGTGCAAATGGGACATTTTAAAAAACCCTACATTCTATTGACTACAAATACAATGGGGGATGTATGTATAATGTATTTTCGAAGCAATTTTGTGCATGGCATGCAAATATGTCTTCTAATGCTCCGCAAATAATTTTAATTATGAAATTTTCACTAAACAAAACTCAGTCTCGTGCAATATCCCTCAAACCATTCGACCTAAATCAAGACAATTCAAATTAAACTTCGTAACATAATCACCCAATTGGATTAGAGATGAACTATGAAAATATATTAGGAAATAAATATATGCTAGTAAGACGTGTGTGTGTATATATATATATATATATATATATATATATATATATATATATATATATATATATATATATATATATATATATATGTATATATAATATATGAGCTAGTCAAATGATAGCCATGCATGTGTGGCATGTTGAGAAGCAAAAATTCTATAAAAATAGCTAGGAATGAGCCACTAGAATAGTAGAATTCATTACGTCCACGTTGGCACATGTATTTGACATGTGCACAACCACATGTACATTATCATTAATGTATGTTCGTAAGTAATTAGGTAGAAAGAGAGTTCAAAGTTTGCAAGCGAAAACACTAATTAATAGATTATAGTCAAAAGGCAAGAGCAAATTATTTCTAATCTCCTCTTGTATGTGGAATTTGGTATGCATGCATGTTTCCACCAACTGAACCGAAGGTAACTTCAATTTAGGCCATGCTCGACATTAAGAAGATTAATTAACGTCAAGGCGTTTTAATTACTTCGAACTTCGTATTCATTCATTGACACTTTTGTTCAGTCGAAATATTTTGCAGTACTCTAACTAAATCTAACAAAGCGAATTAATCTAGATAGGTTCTCGAAAATCCATATTCATCACTACTCGTTTTCGAACATCATGTTTTCTTGTTCCTTTTGTTGTTTTCATGACAGATCAGCTGTGAGTACACCTCATACTTTGTACATGGAACAAACATTCACTACTAGAAAATCATGATTTGGCAACGGACGAATTCGTTGCTAAGAATTGTAAAACTCCGTCACTAATCAAGATTTAGCAACAGATAATGATCGTCTCTAACGCTGTCGCTAAAAGGCGCGTCGCTAAATTTGGCGACGACGTGCGCAAATCCGTCGCTACATTTTAGCAACAGAATAAGCCGTTGCCGGATACCGTCACTACTATAGCAATAGAATGACTCGTCGCCAGATCCGTTGATAATGTAGAAACTGAATGACCCATCACCAAATCCGTCGCTACTTTAGATAGGGATTGAATCGTATCTAAATCCGTCGCAAAAAATATTTTAACAATTAAAAAAATATATATATTTATTTTTATTTTGATACCTATTTAATATATATTGTATACCAAAAATAACAATTATATATAAAAATTCAGCATACAATGTTACAAATTTGTATTACAAACTGTACCAATACTGTTTTGAAAGCAAGATTGAAACACTGTCAAAATTTAGAATACATCAATCTTGTTCTATAAGTGCAACACACACCGTCTCTCTAGTCTCTCCAATCGACATATGCTTGTGATGTACTTGTACCACGTAGATGACATCCTGAATACTAGCTGCATAGTACACAAAAGTAGTCCAAGACAAGATAAATGTGATTAGCTAAATATTGACGCCAAGCTAAAAAAGACAACTTAAAGTCCTAATAAAACAAATTGTGTAAGAAAGTGAATATTTCATACCTGATACAACTTTTCCCTGCAAATGTAGCAACATAAACAATTGTCAAGGAGATAACAAAACAAATTTTCGAATTGAATAGTAAATCAAATCAAAATATTGACTTTAAAATAAAAAAGACAACTTTGATCCTAATAAATAGTAAGGTAAAACATTTACCTTTAAATGTAGCACTTGAGCTTCACAACATCATCAAGAAAAACAACTGTTAAAGAGACAAGAAAACAAATTGAGAAAATGAGCAGTGAATGAAATCTAATTTGAATCTCTATACTGACATCTAGCTAAAACATGTATGTAAAATAAATAGAAGCAAATATACTCAATTTACTATGCTATCCTCACACCATTCTCTTTAAAAGTCAAAAGATAAGAAATTATCAATTCAATTTTTTCTCTAACTTGGGAAAGCCTCACCAAACATGTTTACCATTACACATGTACAGAATTTGGAGTTCTAGTACTACACCTCTTATGATCTTCCCCTCTCCTCTATTGACAACTCAATTTGGTTTCCTGAAAAAATCATTATTGTGGATAAGTATTTTTAATAGTAAAAATAGCAGACTGCCTTGATATCATTTTTGCAAGCATAAAAGATAACATAAACAGAGGATAAGAGATGATGAGAAATCAATTGAGCACAGAACATACTCTCTGAACATTGTTTCCATCAAGCATCCTAATGCTTTCCTCGTTAATAGAGAAAAAATTGGGTTGGTTTACCCATCCATTAGATTATGTTTGTGAATTTATTTCAATTTCCCGCATCATGCTACAAGTCATCAAAAAGTTAACGGATGAAAGCCATGAGTCATCACAAACAAATTATTTTATACATATCTAATCAGATTTCAAGAGGATTAATCAAAGTCAAGTTCATAAATAAATTTTGCACCTCTGAACAACACTTGAGATAATTGACACGCAAACAAAATAGCTACAACACCTAACCATCTCAAATAAGTAAGAGAACAAATACCGGAACTTTTATTTCTACTCAAATAATTGGAAGGAAACATATCGAAAGACAATAACAAAACCTATAAACATCCAAATTTTCTAGCAAAAAAACACATAAACAAACAAATCCATTATCATGTTCAAAAGACAATCGAATGAAAATTCAAATAACATTCGCCAATTCATTAATTTACCAAAAGCAAAACAATTTAAAGAATATATTATATGCACCCACGAGCGAAAGAAATAATTCAAAACATATCGGATAAGCACAGTAAAAAATCATAAATTAACCAGATCCCTGCAAAAATTGTTCTTTTGAAATATTAGAAGTTCAAGATCAATGAAGATTCGAAAGGGCAACCGGACAAGTGCTAGCGTTTTCATAAGATAACTCAAAAATCGTACTTGACAGAGAACTATGGAGAAATATCCGAAAAAAAATTAAGAACTGAAATTTACATTCACATTAGGGATTTGGAGAAAAACTCGTTCATTTCCACTGAAGAGAAAACCTTTTAAAAAGAAAGAGAAATATTGAGGAAAACTTAAGAATGAAATTTACCTTGAAATTACATATTTGCTGCAGAAATCATTTTTCGACTGGACCACTCTCGACATATCGATCTCCCTGGCAATACATTATAAACTACAATCACATACATAAACTAATTGGGTTCCTTACCTCTTCCGAACACTCAGTACAAAAACTTCACAATTGGAAAATGAGGACTTGGACATCGACTCAATTGAGATAATCCTCTGTAAAAATTAGGGCTTCGGCTGTGGATTTTGCAGCGAGAGAATCCTCCGTAAAAATTAGGGCTTCGGCTGTGGATTTTGCTTCCGCTGTTGTTTGGGGTTTGGACATTTTTTCTTTAAATTATATATCTTTCCGAATATTTATTAATATTTTATTATAAATCTAGTGCAGTTATTGTTATACATAAATATTTAAATATTTAATACTATAACTTTAATTAAATAATGGATAAAAGAGTAAACACGTTGTGTTTGTTTTCTGCCTAATCATTTAGGTAACAAATGATATAAGTTTTTATACATATAATTTATTTCATCACTTTTAATAGTTAATTACAATACAATTATTAAAATAAATATATATAAATAATATTAATTAAAATAATTAAATAAAAAAAGTAAAAAAAACACATAATAATAATTAAATGATAACAGTATAAAATACCCATTTTAAATTTAAAAACAGCAATCCTAAATACCCATTTTAGCAACAGGTCCTTCAATCTGTCTCTACATATGATGCTAACATTTATCTTTAGTAACAGTTTATTATCCATCACTGAATTATGTCACTAAATATTTATTTTAGCAACGGATTTATTATCCGTCTCTAATATCTGTTGCTAGCACTGAAACTCCATAAGCAATGGGACGATTTTGTCTTACGTCGCTAATCCCGTCGCTAATTACTTATTTAGCAACGGATTGTTTTGTTCGTTGCTAGCTGGCGTTGCTAAATCATGATTTTCTAGTAGTGATTATAATTAGATAGACGACAATTTTTGTATATATATGTGTATGTTTCCGATTGATGAATTAATATTATTCCAACAACGTAAGGCGCATCATATATCGATCATAGTCAATTAATTAAAAGATAAGAGATATTGCCGGATAGAAGCTTGGTTTTGCATGTTCATGAGCATTAAACATTGTCGAAGCTTCAATAAACAAATCAACATAGGTGATACTACATTAACTAATTACTCAAAAAAATCTTCTCAAGTATATTAAAACATATCCTTAATTAAAAAATGAAATATTTTACCATATATATATATAGATATATTTGGAGAGAAGTCGACAACCCTACTATTTTGGGCTTTATTAAACCCTTACAACTTTGGGCCTAATACTAAACATTCTGCAGATGTGGGAAAGTGAAGCCCAGCTAACTGCCATCTGACCCAAACCTATGGCACATGATTTAATTTATCATTTATTCATTTTATAATACCTGTAAAATCTTTTTCGTCTTTTT